CCATTTCGGCGCACCCCTCACACGTTTCGTGGCCCTATATGGTGCTTCACCGAAGGTCCCCTGTGGCAGGGTCCGCATGCAGTTCCACCCCCATTTCGGCACACCCCTCACACGTTTCGCGGCCCCATAGGGTGCTCCACCCAAGGCCCCAGTGGCAGGGTCCGCATGCAGCTCCACTTCCATTTCGCCGCACCTCTCACACGTTTCGTGGCCCCACAGGGTGCTCCGCCGAAAGCCCCAGTGGCAGGGTCAGCATGCAGTTCCACTTCCATTGCGGCGCACCTCTCACACGTTTCGTGTCCCTATAGCTTGCTCCGCCGAAGCCCCAGTGACAGGGTCCGCATGCAGTGCCACCTCCTTTTCGGCGCACCCCTCACACGTTTCGTGGCCCCATAGGGTGCTCCGCCGAAGGCCCCCTGTGGCAGGGTCCGCATGCAGTTCCACCCCCATTTCGGCGCACCCCTCACATGTTTCGTGGCCCTATAGGGTGCTTCACCGAAGGCCCCCTGTGGCAGGGTCCGCATGCAGTTCCACCTCCATTTCGGCGCACCCCTCACATGTTTCGTGGCCCTATATGGTGCTTCACCGAAGGTCCCCTGTGGCAGGGTCCGCATGCAGTTCCACCCCCCATTTCGGCGCACCCCTTGCACGTTCGGCGGCCCCATAGGGTGCTCCACCGTCGACTCTGGTGGCAGCGTCCGCATGGCGTACCCGTGCCAGTTTTGGCACACCCGTCACACGCGTCGTGACCCCAGAGAGGATCACCGAGGACGATACCCACAACTGCGTCACTCACAACTGCACATGGTTGGGTCCCTCGCCAGGATAGTAGTTTTTTGTTTTTTTTCTGTTCCTTCTCCTCCTCCTATCACTCCTCCTCCTCCCCTTCTCCCCTCCTCCCCTCCTCCTCCTCCTCCCCCTCCCCCCCTTTCTCCCCTCCTCTCTCCTTCCCTCCTCCCTCCTCCCCTCCTCCCTCCTCCTGAATCCTCCTCGCCGTCCTTTCCTCCTCCATCTCTCGGCGGCCAGCCCGGGGGGGAAGTGAGAGGGGGCGGGCTTTCTCAGATGGCTCGGAAGCCCCCCGGCCTTCGGAGAAGTTTTCTAAGCCTTCCCAGAATGGTGTTCTGGCACAGTTCAGGATGTTCAAACGGTTGTTTTCCAACGGGGCGTTTCTTCCAGTGAGAACGAATGCGTGTAGGGGCCTACGAGGAGGGAGCTTGGAGAGAGGGTTTATTGCGATATCATTGATGAGTCTTGGGTTTACACTGGTCCATCCTCCTCCTCGATCCTCCCCGCTGTTCTCCCCTCCTCCTCCATCTATCTCCTCCTCCGTCCTCACCCTCTGCCTCCATATTCCCTGCTCCTCCATGTGCCCTCCTCCTCCTCCTCCTCCTCCTCCTCCTCCTCCTCCTCCACCTCTTCGTCTTGGGAACAGCTCCTCCTCGTCGGACCCCCAGACGTGTGGGTAGAGCGGGCCTGGCGTTCGGCCTGAGAATTCCTCACCCTATATGATCCTGGACTTGAAAGTTGCAACAGTTTCACGGGTGGAGGGCGCTTGGTTTTCAAACTGAAGTTCTCGCTTTAGCCGCGCGCATTCGTTTTTGACTACGTTACAGCAGTTTCACTAATGAAGGAGGTGCGTTTTTAAAGTGCGGCGTTCGCCTTCGCGCCGCGCACATTCTTATTAAAAGGTAGCGACAGCTTCAAGGACGGAGGACGATTCTTCCTCAAAACGTGGTTTGTCGCCTTTGCGCCGCGCGCAATCGCTCGAACGCGTTTCTCTATTGCTTGGGGCACAATGTTTATCTCTCTTTGCCCCTCACCCCCTCACCCTATAACGTAACGCAGTGCGCTCCGGGCACTGCCGCCGTGCGCATCCGGATCTCCATCGGCGTCCACATAGAAGTCCGAATATGAGCCTGGTCCGCATTGGGAACCTCATGGGGACCAGGAAGTGGAAGTGAAGGTGGAGGTGGCGGAGGAGGGAGGAGGGAAGAACGCTGCATTCTATTATCAGCACTTCTCTTGCGTGGCGTTCAGCTGTCCGCAGCAGATCCTGTGCAAACCGGCACTGTGGTGCACGTAAGCATTGTGGTGTACACAGGCGTTGCGTCGCACATGGCTGTTGCGGTTTACGCAGGCACTATAGTGTACACGTGCGTTGTGGTGCACGCGAGCATTGTGGTGTACACAGGCGCTGTGGTGTGCACAGGCGCAGCGGCGCACGCAAGCATTGTGGTGTACACAGGCGCTGTGTTGCACATGGTTGCTGCGGTGTTACACATTCGCTGTGGTGTACACCGGCACTGTGGTACACGCAAGCACTGTGGTGTACACAGGCGTTGCGTCGCACACGGCTGTTGCGGTGTTCGCAGGCACTGTGGTGTACACGCGCGCTGTGGTGCACGCGAGCATTGTGGTGTACACAGGCGCTGTGGGCAGGTCGCCACCTACATGCTACTCGCGTCTTCGTCGTCGCTCGTCGCTCATCGCTTATCGTCGTGCGCGTAGGCGCGGCTGTGGTGCCAGAGCCGCACGGCGGGGGCGGGGGGCGTTACATTATTACCCCCCCCGCCCCCCAATAACGCCCATTATCGCCAAGGATAAAGAAACGCGCTCTTCTTAACATGTGGCAGCGGCTTCAGCGGTGGAGGAGGCCTGATTGCAAGGTGGGGCTCTCGCACTCGCGCTTGGCACACCTGCGCCGCAAACATGCACAAGCTGCCAGGTGGAGGGGGATCTGGGCTCTCGCCGTAGCGCCGCTCCGAGTGCTTGTGAAGCGCACGCAGCAGCCTCAAGCAGGGCGGTTCCCTTTCGAGGCGGGGCTCTCGCCCTCGCGCCGAGCACATTCGCGTCAAGAGGTCGCGAACGCTCCAAGGATGGAGGCAGGGTTAAGTCGGGCCTGTCCCTCTACAGGGGGAATATTCAAACATAGTTTGTTTTTTTTAGTAGTGTGGGGACGATTTTTCTAGCATGTTTTGACTATGTTGGTGTATTTTGGGGGTGTTTTTTATTTTTCGTCGAAAATCCCCCTTGTAGGAGGACAGGCCCGACTTGAAGGCAGGGCCGTGTTTTTTCCATAGAATTCTCATTTTCGTGCTGCGCGCGTGCCTCTTACGCGCTTGCGGCAGCTTCAAGGATTGAGGGTCGCTCCTCTCCAAAAGCGGGGCTCTCGCCTCAGCGCCGCGCTTTTTTGGGTATCTGCGCCCGTTGCAGGGTATGGAGCGCCGGTCGTCATCAACATGGGGCTCTCGCCTTATTGCCCTGCATGCTCGATTCAACAGCTTGCAGCATTTGGAAGGATGGAGGACGGCTATTTTTCAAAATGGGGCTCTTGTCTATGGTTTCCTCACTGATTGATAAATCAGGGAGGGAAAAATACAGACACAATTCATTGTCGATCCCCAGGAAAATATAGGAAAAGATGGAAAGTGAGGGGGGGAAGACGACCACCCAGAATATGGAATCCTGGGATTTGTGTGTATTTAGTTGTGTGTCCCTGGGCCCCTTCACTAAAGACTGGAAGCCCCAGCACATGCAGCCTTGGACGGATCGAGTGCAGTTCTCTTTCAGAGTGGAGTTGTTGTTTGAGATTTCTTCGAAGGCCTCGGCTGCAATATTCAAATCTGCGCAACATGTTCACGAATGGGCGGGGCGGCCGTTCTTTGAGCGGGGGATCTCGTTGGACACATCAATGATTTGTATAACTGAATGATGATGGTTTCTCGCGGTCATAACTTCGGGCCGGAAGGATGCTGTTTCTCTGGCAACACGGGGCCCTCGCCAGCATGTCAGGTTGAGGTGGTGCTGGTGTTTCAGGGTGGCTCCTACAGTAAAAACAATTTTCTATGACAAAGAAGAAACGTAACAACATATGTCATGTGGGAGAGTATCTGACAGCATTGCTGATGCATCTTACGTGTGCTCTGGTCCAGCCTTCCTCCCGTCAGTCCTCACTTCCTCATCCATCTCCTCCGTCCTTCTCCTCGTCCTCCACCCTCCTCCTCCCTTCTCTTCCTCCCTCCTCCTTCATTCTCCCTCCTCGTCTCCTCCTCCATCCTCTTCTCCTGCTCCACGCTCCATCTCCTCCTCCTCCTCCTCCTCCTCCTCCTCCTCCTCCTCCTCCTCCTCCTCCTCCTCCTCCTCCCCTTCTCCATCTTCCCTCCTCCATCTTCCCTCCTCCTCCTCTTCCTCCTCCTCCTCCTCCTCCTCCTCCTCCACCTCCTCCTCACGCCTCCTCCATGCTCCCCCGTTCGTCCCCCCTCCCCCCTCTGACCCCCCCCCTGCGCGCTGTGATCCTGCGGCCGGGGCGCCCCCGGGCCGGCTCCGCCTCGCACGTGGCCCCCGTGCGGGGGGCCCCCCGTGCGCCCCACCCCGTGCTGCTCCCGGATGCCGTCGCCCTCCTCTTCGCCTCTTCCCCTCGTCGTTTCCCGAGGGGGGGGAGGGAGGAGGAGGAGAGAGGAGGAGGAGGGACCAGATTCCCCTTCGTCTCTGCCAGTGTTTCTCCTCCTGCTCCACCCCCCCATTCCCTCTCCTCGACCCCCCCCCGTCTCTCTCCCCACTCGACCCCGCCCCCTCCATCACCCCCTTGGGTCCCCCTCCTCGGTCACCCCCGCGCCCCCCCATTTGTCCTCCCCCCCTCCCTCGACCCGACGTCACGAAAACATAGTATAGTATCTTGAAAACTCTGACGGAGCCATGGCCTTCATCCTTCTGGGAGGAGGAGGAGGAGGAGGAGGAGGAGGAGGAGGAGGAGGATCGAGTAGGATTGAGTAGGATCGAGTAGGATCGGGGAGGAGGAGGAGGCACGGCAGCTCCCGGCTGGGATCGAGTGTCATTAGCGTCAGCGCCAGCAGGACGAGGAGAAGGAGGAGGATCGAGGGGCGGGGGGGGGCTCGAGGGGTACCGAGCATCGAGGCTCGAGGAGCGTCGAAGCGTATCGAAGAGAGAACCGAGGCTCAAGGAGAACCGAGGAATCGAGGAGGATCGAGGAGGAGGACCAGGGGCCCCGCGCGGACAGGTTCCGCCTCTCGCTGGCCCGGGCCTGCGCGGACGGCCTCCCAGCGCTCGTGGTGGGCCTCGGCCTCGAGGCCTCGGCCCTCGCCTTCGCGCGCGCGCAGCCGCCCTCGGCCAGTTCCGCCCTCGTCTTCGGATGCTCTCGTCGGTTCCTCCTCTTGCTCCATGCTCCTCCTCCTCCTCCTCCTCCTCCTCCTCGTCCTCGTCCTCGTCCTCCTCCTCCTCCTTTTCCTCGTCCTCTTCCTCGTCCTCTTCCTCGTCCGCCTCCTCCTACCCCTCCTTCTCTCCTCCCCCTTTCCTTGCTGCCCATCCCTCCCTCCCTCCTCCCTCCTCCCTGGCTCCTGCCTCCTCCAACTCCGCCTCCTCCTCCTCCTCCTCCTCTGCCTCCGCCTCCGCCTCCTCCTCCCTCTCCCTCTTCTCCTCCTCTCCTCCTCCTCCTCCTCCTCCTCCTCCTCCTCCTCCTCCTCCTCCTCCACCTCCTTCCTGGTAGTTGTCTCACTTATGCTCGCAGTTGTTGGGTGCTTGGGCTCCACCCTGCGGCACCCTCGCGGTGCACGATGCAGGCCGATGTCCGATGCCCGGTGCCTCCTCCTCCTTCCTCCCTGCCTCCTTCCCTCCTGCCATCCCGCCCCTCCTCTTCCTCGTTCCGTTCCTCTCTACCTCCTGCCCCTCCTCCTCGTCCTGATCCTCTCCCTCCTCCCGTTTCTCCTGCCCTCCTGCCCCTCGTCCTCCTGTCCCTCCTGCCCCTCCTCGTCATCTTCCTCCTCCCGCGCCCTGCCCCCCTCCCCTCCTCCCCCCCTCCTCCCCTCCTCCGCCCTGGGCCACCCGCGAGCGAGGTCCTCCGCCCGCGCTCTTCCACCCCGAGGTGTGAACAACCGCTCCCGGCGGAGACTTTCGGACCCTCCGGCGCGGGCGGTCGTCGGGGGCCCCCTAACGGTGCGGTGGCCACACCGTGCGGTGAGTCGGTGGGGACTCGGGGTCACCGCACGGTTTTAGGACTCGGGTCCCTCTCCGAGGATGTCTCGGGCGACAGGGGCCTCCAGGGTCCCAAGACCGTGCGGTGACGGACCGTGCGGTGAGGTCTCTTGGGGTTCCGAGGTCACCGCACGGTCTGTCACCGCACCGTTTCGGGACTCCAAAGTGTCGGGGCCCTCCCGCGGGCCCCGGGGCCGTCCAGGAACGGCGCGGGAGGAAGAGACGGTCCCAGGGAGCGGGCCGAGAGCTGCTCGGGGTCGTCGACCTCCGCCCTCGCGTCGGGGGGCCCCGCGTCGGGCCCCGGGCTCGGGAGGAGGAGCCCGTCCCCGGAAGTGTGTCGAGGCCCCCAGTGGTCGTCGACCTCCGCCCTCGCGTCGCTCCGCGTTTGTTCGGGCGTGGTCGTCGGTTCCTCCTCCTCCTGCTCCCTCCTCTTCCTCCTCCTCTCCCTTCTCCTCCTCCTCCTCCTTCTCCTCTTCCTCCTCTTCTTCCTCCTCCTCGTCCTCCTCCTCCTCCTCCTCCTCCTCCTCCTCCTCCTCCTCCCCTTCGCTTCCCCCTACTCCTTCCGATCTGTGGCACCTGATGCCATCCATCTGGGCATGCTTAACTTGCCGTCGTCGCGTTGTGCTGAATGCTTACTGTATGATACTCATCGTGTACTACCTGTTGCACATTGCAAGGGGGGCCTGTTCCTGCGTCGCGTGCTTTCCTACTCCCTCCTCATCCTGTCCCTCCTGCTCTTTCTCCTTTATCCTACTCCTCTTTCTCCCCCGCGCTCCTTGTTTCCGGGCTCGTTTGGCGGCGCCCGCTCGACAGGGTGGGGCTGCTAAGAAGGCGGCGAGTCTTCTGAGAAGGCACGGGGGCTTCTCAGAAGCCCGCCCGGCTCCTTCTAAGAAGGCAGGGGGGGCCTCTGAAAAGGCGGCGAGGGCTTCTTCGAAGCCTCCAGGGCCTCCTAAGAGGGCCCCTGCCTTCTGAGAAGCCCCTCCGCCATTCTTGGAGGGCCGACGATCCCCTCCGCCACTCCGATCTTGCGGGCGCCGCCAGGGTGCTCGCCGCTCCTCTGCGGCTCTCCAGCCCCGGGGATGCTGCCCAGCAGCTGCGCCTCGCCGACAGCGTTCCCGGGGGTGCCAGAATCGTCCCGATCAGGTCGTGGCTCAAGAGACGGGGGTCAATGCAAACGAGGGTCAGCCAGGGCACCGGATCCTGCAGGATCCTGCGAAGACCCCTCTGGCTGACCCGGGTTAGCGAGCCGCGAGGCGGCCGCACATCTTGGCTGACCCGGGTTTGCGAAGACCTGCGTTGCAGTTGTTCTTTCCTGCATTTCAGTTTGTTGGTTTCCTGCTGACCCGGGTCTGGATTGACCCGGATCAGAAGATCCCCGATCGGACGCCAGAGACCCGAATTATACGCCGAGAACCTAGAGATCCACCGTATTGGCAAACACAGTGCTACATGTTCTTCACCACTATCGACCTCAGGGGTCCCTCGCTGGGCCCCGTGACCGTCAGCAAGAGACCATTTCTATTTTGCTTGGGGCATGACGGGCGTCATGGCCCCCGCCCCCCTCTCCCCCCTATGACGTGACGCCCCCCCACCCAGTGCGCTCCGGGCACTGCCGCCGTGCGTATCGGGATCCGCGTAGGAATCCGCATAGGAGTTTGGTCCGCAGTCGTCGACGTCGTCGTCGTCGTCGTCGCCGTCGCCGTCGCTCGTGGCTCGTCGCTCGTCGCTCGTCGCTCGTCGCTCATCGTCGTCGTGCGCGCGGACGCGGCTGGAGGCTGTTTTTTTTCCGGGCTGATGACGGCAATCATTTGGGGGGGTGGAGGGGGTCGATGACGTCACGCTTCGCGCCGGCGGCGCCTGGGAATGCTTAGGAATGACGGATGACGGGTGGCACCAGCATGTAGGTGGCGATCTGCACCACAACGCTTGTGTATACCTCAGTGCCTGCGTGCACCACAGCGCTTGTGTACACCGCACCGCCTATGTACACCACAACAGCCGCGTGCAACACCGTGTCAGTTTGTGCCACCGCGCGCGCGGGCGCAACAGCTCTTGTGTACACCACAGCGCCAGCGTACACCACATCAGCTGTGTGCAGCACAGCAGTGTACACCACAATGCGCGCGTGCATTGCTGTGCCTGTGTGCACCACGGCGCTTGTGTGCACCACAGCAACCGTGTACAACACAGCACCACTGTTGCACGTAGAATGTTTGAAGGAATCATTATGACAAAATGGAGCGTTTGTGGATTCCACCGAAAACACCAGAAAATAATCCTTATGGACAAGGGAACGCCCAGGGAATCTACGAGTCCTTCCGAGTTCGCCCGCGCCACCGTAACTCCACCCATCTGTGTCCACGAGGCTCCAACTAAATTGGCCGTCCGAGAACCAAGTGGGCCGATTCAATCGAGCATTCTGCGGTGCACGCTGAATTGCGCACGTGCGCTGCAGCGCCAACCCGCACGACAGGGGCTGAGGAGGATGAGGAGGAGCGGGGAGGAGGAGAAGGAAGAGAAAAAGGAGGAGGAGGAAAGGGAAGAGGAGGACGAGGAGGAAGAGGTGGAAGTGGAGGAGAAGGGAGAAGGGAAAAACGTCGCATCCGTGGCGTGGCGGTTCCGCAGCAGATCCTCACGTGCAGGCTCCTTCTACCTGTCCTATGCACGCAGGCAGCGTGGTGTACCATAGCGCTGCGTTGCACGCGGATGCTGTGGTGTAGACAGGCGCTGTGGCGTGCACAGGCGCCGCGGTGCACGCAAGCATTGTGGTGTACACAGGCGCTGCGTTGCGCATGGTAGCTTCTGGTGTCCACATGTACACCGGCGCTGTAGTGCACGCGCGCAGTGCAGTGTAATTACACAGGCGCTGCGTTGCACACGGTTGTTGCGATGTTCGCAGGTGCTGTGGTGTACACGCGCGCTGTGGTGCACGCGAGCAATGTGGTGTACACAGGCGCAGGGGGGCAGGTCGCCACCTACATGCTGCTCGCGTCGTCGTCGTTGTCGTCGTCGTCGTCGTCGCTTGTCGCTTGTCGCTCGTCGCGTCGTGCGCGCGGGCGCGGCTGTGTTGCCGGAGCCACACGGCGGGGGGGGCGTTGCGTCATACCCCCCCCGCCCCCCCCACCCCCAATGACGCCCGTCATCGCCGAGCATAAAGAAACGCTCTCCAACGGAGTCCAGATCCAAAGCCGGCTTTTGGGAAAGGGTCGGGTTTTTGGCAACCGCGTATTCAACATCCATCGCACATTTGCGCCCGCTCTACCCCTGAACATCTTGGCGTCGTATTTTTTTACATCTGGTGATGTTGCCTCGTTCTGGGCCCTGGGGCCCTCACAGATCGATCCTGCTCGAAAGATGCCGCAACAAGATGGGATCTAAGCTTATGATCGTTTGTTTGTTTACGATGTTGCAGTTGTTGTCGCAACGTCGGATCTGAGGGTCCCTCCTCCATCCTCCCCCCGCCTCCCTCCTCCTCCATCCTCCCCCCGCCTCCTCCTCTTCCTCCTCATTCCATCCCTCCTCCTCATTCGCATCCTCCTCCCTCCTCCCTCCCTCCTCCTCATCACCCTTCCTCCGCCGCCCTCATCCCACTCCCGCTCCCTCCTCGTCACCCTCCCTCCTCCTCGTCCTCCTCCCTCCTCCCTCCTCCTCCCTCCCCCTGGACACATGGGCACCGAAGGCTCTGGATCCGATGGTCCTCCTGCGAGCGCGGGAGCCGGCGCGCTCCCTCGCCGACCCCCTCCCGCAGGGCAGCTGAACCTTTTCTGTGATAATGTCTGATGTCCAAGTTGAATGGTACATCTGCTTCATGCGCAGGGTCTTCCGGCGGCACCGTCGTTGGCCGCACGCATCTGCCCTGCGGCCGCTGTCCACCAGTTCGCCCTCGTTTGTGCGAAGTCTTTCCTGGACATGATGGCGGCCTTTGCGCAGTCTCCGGATCTGTGCCCAATCTCAGTCTATGGTTACATTACCAAACCACTTCGCCTTGTCTCTGGCCACAGAAACTCGGATTCGTTTCGCTATGTCGCGCTCTCGAGGGGCATCCGCGTCCCGCCTGACCGCAACCGCACGAGTTCCAGCGTGCGGCTATTGATCCAGGGTTTGCGAGGACGAATTGGCTCCTGCGGCAAGACAGTTGTCTCTGCATCTACGAAGCCATCAACCACTCGGCGCCATGCCAGGTTCACGTCGGTGTCGTTCGGGGATGCCTCTTCGCAGCTGTCCCAAACCTCGCCCAGACATCATGCAAAGGTCTGCCTGGTGTTCTTGTCGGTCAGGGCGCCGTGGTCTCGACGGCATGCTTGCTCTTCCGCGCAGCGCTTGTCAACGTCCATGCGCACGAAGGCTTGTAGCAAGAAGTGATGCGATGACAGGGGCGCCGCTTTGGCAAGCTCGCGCTGTTTTGCAGCCAGCCATGCCCACAACAATATACATCGATCTGTGAGTGAGTCTGACCGCTGACGGGGGCGCCTGCCTTCGTTCCAACTTTGTAGCAGGTTGCAAGACCGTCAATCGAGGTCTCGAAACATTTGTTGGCCAGGCACACGTCGAGATGTGTGAGCGCATCCACAAGCAAATGTCTATTAGCATTGCCCTGGCACCCCGTGCCCTGGCACAGCAGGACGTGCTCGCCCACCACAGCGTGTTCACCATCCACGCGGTAGTGAAGCTTCGAATTGAAATCGCTCGAAAGCAGTTTGAGTGTGTGCCGATTTGGTCTCGACGATATCAGCCAGGTCGTGAAAGAAAGTATGTCTTTGGTCAAACGGCTCACCAAAATGAAGTGCATGCCAGGAAAATCACAGCCTTCCCTCCAGGGACGCGTGTTTTCAACGACGCCAGTCTTGAATCAGCTTGGCAGAACCGTACCAACGAGCTCCGAAACGGAACCCCCTTCCGACTCGTTCGCTATCTCCATCGATTTTCCCCGACATGATGATCAGGAAACCTGAACAGGTCACGAACGTGCTGGACTTCAAGTGCTAAGTATCTTGTACGCACAACCCCCGATCTCGTTACCAACAACGATTCTCTCTAACTCGATATGTTTCTCAATCCGCGCACCCTTCAATATTCCAAGATGCAGTCGTGCATTCTGAGGTTGATGGGGATCAACGTCTGGCCCTGCATGCGGCGAGTAGCGGTTTGGCTTGACCAGGCTGCTCCGCTCCAGCTGCATGGGTACACGCCAGTCGTTGAACGTATTTTTGGATTCCCAGATCCCAATCTACTTCAAGCGCCTTCCTACTTCAAGAATCGACATGCTTTTGCTGTGTTTTGTTATTTAATCGCTTCGCTCATTCCGCCGGCCCGTATTGTGCCATCGCAGGCGTTTGCTTGCGCGTTCGTGGCCTCTTGGAGCCTCGGTGGGGCCGTTTGGGGCCTCTTGGCGCCTCTTTTTAGGCCTCTTGGAGAACTCGGGAGGCCTCCAGGGGGCCTCCTGAGCTCTCGTGACGGTCTCTTGGGGGGCTTTCGGCGGGCTCTTGGCGGTATTTGTTGGTCCTCTTGGGGCCTGGGGCCTGACGTTGTTGGTCCTCTTGGGGCCTCACGGGAGCTTATTGGGGCGTCTTGGGGGTGTCTTGGAGAGTCTCTTGGGGCCTCTTTCGGGGTCCTGGGCGCCTTCTGGGGCGGAGGGCTCGATTTTTCAGTTCTCGGTTCCCTTCTTGAGCCCCTCTTGGGCCCGTCTTGGGGCCTCTTGGTCCGCCTTGGGCAGCACTTGGGCCGTCTGGGGGGCGCTCTTGGGCCGCTCCGGGGCCGTCTTGGGAGCCTCGTGGGCCGTCTTGGAGCAGTCTTGAAGGCCTCTTGGGCCCTCTTGGAGCGTCCGGAAGCGAAAAGGCCAGAACGCAAAAAAACATAGGAAAAACCAAAGAAATCAACGATTTTGGCAACTTGGGGCCCTCTTCGGAGGCCTCTTGGAAGGCCCTTGGAGCGTCTTGGAGGCCTCTTGGGCTGTCTTGGGGCCATCTGGGGCGTCTTCGGGCGATCTTTGGCCGTCTCGGGCCTCTTTTGGACCGTCTAGAAAGCTTCTCGGGGCCCTCTTGGACCGGTCTGGAGCCCTCTTGGACTCCGAAACAGAACTCCGGCATCTCTGACCCGACCTTGCCGGGGACTTGCCGGGACCTTGCCGGGGTACTTTTCGCCCGGGGACCCCCAGGGGCCGCCCCGCGCGCGCGAACTAGAAATACTGTTAACCAGGTACCGGAGATCTTAGCACGCCCTGGCCCGTTGGGCCGGCGAATTCTCTGGGAGGACCTGGACCCAATCCACTACATTCGCCTTCCTACTTCATGTTTCTACCTGCTTCTTCCGACCGACGTGTATTGGTGTTCAGAGCGTCGTAAAGAACATGCAAGGTAGGCACACGATCCCAAGCGCTCTGGGGTGAAACGTCTCTGCTCGCACACCGCTGGCTTCCTCTCCCGCTTCCCCTTGAATGTGTTCTCTTGTTGCGGCTTTGCCGGATCCATTGGACGCGAAATTCTCGAGTTTGCCGGTCATCCTTTTCACGAGCTCGGGGAAGTCAGGGAACTCGGAGTCCGTAAGCCACACCTCCCTTTCTCGCCTATATTCCTCGTGGAACTTGCCAGCAATGATGCTGACCTGAATGGCAAGGTCATCCCCAACCCAGGCCTTGTCCTCCACAGGATCGGCCCAGACAGACTGACGAGCGTAACCCCATTGTTTCAGCAGGTACTCCACTCCAGACTCGCAGCTCGAGAGGCGCGCAAAAGGCGAACTCTTCCATAACGAGCGATATTGCCCTTTCTCGGGCCTTGGGGCCCTCGTGGATCGATCCGGCTAACGAAAATTGTGCGAAGAGATGCGCCAGGGATCCGGTCGAGTTTTCGCACGATCTTTGCGATTTGTTCGTTGCGGCGGATCTCAAGGGAGCAGGCGGAGGCATGGTCGCAGCCGTTCGGATTCTGATGCCACCAGCTACCAGGTGCCGGCAGAAAAGGAGGAGGAGGAGGGATGAATGCTTCAACCCGAAGATTCCAGTTGGTATAACGTCAAGCATCATCGAGAACAAAATAACCCCTAACTTTTTTAACATAGTGAAGACGTGGCCTCACTTGGGTCCCAGTCTTTGCATTGGGGATACTAAGTCTGGGCGGTTTGGATCGATATTTTTTCAGAACAACCCCCTATCCCTAATGTTTTTTGCCCTCCTACCTTAGGTCTCCTCCCAAAGGGTTGGGGTTCCTTTGATGATTAATCAACAAAGGAGGGGGGGATGAACGCAACAGCCACGATGCTCATGTAAGGCCAACCTCAACAAGGAGGGGGGGGCGGCAGCAGCTGGCGCAGCCGCAGGAGCACACGAGGCATCAGCAGCAACAGCACGAGGAAGGCTGCAGCGTCTGGAGCTACAGTCAACGCGCATAGTAAGGATAAACTACTTTCCAAGGTTACCTTTGCATCCTTCTTCGTCGGCCCACCCTTGGCCTTTTCCGTTGGCCGCGCCCCGCTCGAAAGGTTTCGGCATGGCCCTCCAAGGCCCTAGCATCCTCATCGTGCGTCCTTATTCTTCGCGTTGATTGTACCCCACCCAACCCAAGGCACCAAGCAACCCCAACTAAACCCGAAGGCCCTGGTCCACCCCAAGTTTCGGGTTGGGGGGCGCACGTGAGAGGAGGAAAAGGTACCGCTACCCTCCGCCCGTTTGTTCCTTTTTGGGCCTCCTTGGATGCCCTCGTCGCCACCGCTGGATTCGCCTCGAAATTCTGGTCAGAACGCACCCTGGGCGAGGTCCGTGGAGTGGTACCTGACAGTTTCCTTATATACCACCCCATTTTTCGGGTTGGGGGGTGTACGGATTCTATCGGGTTTCCTCCATAATTTGGAGTGCCCCCCCCAGCAGAAATCGACTAGCCCGGCTGTGACTTTGGGTTGGGTTGGGGTGGTTTGAAAGCTTGTCAGCTGGCGCAGCTGCAGAAGTCAAGTCGGGGATCGACTACAGATTTGATTTATCCCACGATTTTGTCCCGTCGAACCTATGAGAGCAAATACGTAGGATAGTGAGTAGATCTACGGAGCATTGTAGGCATGTTTTGTAGATTCGACGGGGCACCAATCCTGGGGTGATTTCTATAGTAGATTCGTAGACCCTGAATGTAGACCCTGAATGTATGTCCTCCTCCTCCTCCTCCTTCTCCTCCTCGAAGAGGGGGGACAGCAGGAGGTCGGCAGAGCGACGGCGAGCGGCGCGGCGCCCGTTCCGCCCAGGGCAGCGCGCAGTCCCGCGCCCTGCGCCTCGGCTGGCGCCGCCACGCCGAGATCGGGCAGTGGCCGGTGAGCCTCTACGGCGAGGCCGCGGGCGGCCTCTGCCCCGACGGCGGCAGCGGCGGGTGACGACGACGGCGACGACGACGACGACGACGACGGCGGCGCACGGCGACGACGACGACGACGACGACGACGGTGTCGGCAGCGGCAACGACGACGGCGGCGTCGACGATGACGACGGCGGCGACGACGGCGGCGACGAAGGCGATGACGACGACGACGACGGCGACGAAGGCTTTGTCGACGACGGCGTTGGCGACGGCGACGGCGGCGACGACGGCGGCGACGACGGCGGCGACGGCGGCGACGGCGACGACGACGACGACGGACGGCGGCGGCGGCGGCAGCGACGATGACGATGACGACGACAACGGACGGCGGCGTTGACAACGACGATGGTGGTGACGATGACGGCGACGACGACGACGACGTAGGCGGCGACGACGACGACGACGACGGCTCCTGCAACGACGACGGCGGCGTCGACGACGACGACGGACGGAGGCGGCGGCGACGACGACGAAGGCGGTGACGAGGGTGGTGACGATGACGGCGGCGGCGGCGACGACGACGAAGGCGGTGACGATGACGGCGGCGACGACGGCGATGGCGACGGCGACAGATGCGGCGACGACCGCGGCGGCGGCGACGACGACGAAGGCGGTGACGATGACGGCGGCGACGACGGCGATGGCGACGGCGACAGATGCGGCGACGACGAGGGTGGTGACGATGACGGCGGCGGCGGCGACGACGACGAAGGCGGTGACGATGACGGCGGCGACGACGAGGGACGGTGGCGACGGCGACGACGACGGGGGTGTCGACGACGACGACGACGACGACGATGACGATAACGGACGGCGGCGGCGGAGGCGATGACGACGACGACGACAAGGGACTGCGGAGGGGGCGACGACGACGGCGGCGACGACGAGGGTGGTGACGATGACGGCGGCGGCGACGACGGCGACGAAGGCGGTGACGATGACGGCGGCGACGAAGGCGATGGCGACGGCGACAGATGCGGCGACGACCGCGGCGTCGAATGCGACGACGACGGTGGCGACGACGACTGCGACGACGACGACGGCGAAGACGACGATGACGACGACGACGGCGGCGAACGGCGGCAACGGCGGCGGCGACGACGGCGGCGACGACGACGACAACAGACGGCGGCAGCGGCGACGACGACGACGAGGGCGACGACGATGACGGCGGCGACGACGCTGGCGCGGTGGCGACGACGACGAAGGCTTTGTCGACTACGGCGTTTGCGGCAACGACGGCGGCGGCGTCGGTGACGACGGCGACGACGGCGGCGACGGCGGCTTCGATGATGGTGATGATGATGACGAGGACGACGACGACGACGACGACGACGACGACGACGACGGCGTTGGCGACGGCGACGAGGGCGGTGACGACGGCTGCGTCGACGGCGACGAGGGCGGTGGCGACGACGACGACGACGATGACGACGACGACGCCGACGACGGACGACGACTGCGGCGAGGACGACGACGGCGGCGACGACAACGGCGACGATGACGACGACGGCGTTGGCGTCGAAAACGGGTGCGGCGACAACGGCGGCGTCGACGGCAACGACGACGGTGGCGACTACGTCGACGACGACGACGGACGGCGGCGGCGACGACGACGACGACGACGACGACAACGACGACAACGGACGGCGACGGCTGTGGCAACGACGACGGCGGCGTCGACGACGAATACGGCGGCGGCGACGACGACGGCGACGATGACGATGACGACGACGACGGCAGCGATGGCGACGGCGACGGATGCGGCGACGACGGCGGTGTCGACGGCGACAACGACGGTGGCGACGACGGCGACGACGACGACGACGACGGCGACGGCGACGACGACGACGGACGGACGTTGACGACGGCGGCGACGAAGACAACCGCGGTGACGATGACGGGGGCGACGACGACGACGGCGGCGGCGACGACGACGGCAATGGCGACGGCTACGGCTGCATCGACGACGACGGCGGCGTCGACGACGGCGACGGAGGCGACGACGAAGACGCCAACGATGATGGTGACGTCGACGACGACGGCGATGGCGTCAGCGACGGCTTCGGAAACGGCGGCGGCGGCGGCGACGGTGACGACGACGTCGACGATGGCGACCACGGCGGCAGCGACGACGACGACGAGGACGACGAGGACGACGGACGCCGGCAGCGACGACGGCGGCGACGACGACGGCGGCGACGGCGACGACGACGACGACGACGACGACGGCGATGGCGACGGCAACGTCTGCCGCAACGTCGACGGTGGCGTCGACGACGCCGATGACGGCGACGGTGGCGACGCCGACGACGACGACGACGATGACCGTGATGACGACGGCGACGAACGCGGTGGCGACGGCGACGACGACGAGGGTGTCGACGACGACGACGACGATGACGATAACCGACGGCGGCGGCGGAGGCGATGACGACGACGACGACAAGGGACTGCGGAGGGGGCAACGACGACGGCGGCGACGACGAGGGTGGTGACGATGACGGCGGCGGCGACGACGGCGACGACGGCGACGATCAATGCGATGGCGACGGTGACGGCTGGGGCCACGACGGCGGCGATGTCGACGACGACGGTGAACACGGTGGCGACGACGACTACGTCGACCATGACGGCGACGACGACGCCAGACGGCGGCGGCGGCGGCGGCTTCGGCGACGACGACGACCACGACGACGACGACAACGGACGGCGGCGACGACGCTGACGGCGGTGACGATGACGGTGGCGACGATGACGGTGGCGGCGGTGATGATCACGACGACGACGGCCATGGCGACAGCGACGGTTGCAGCAACCACGACGGCGCCGTCGACGACGACGGCGACGGAGGCGACGACGACGACGGCGATTATGGTGACGACGACGGCGATGGCGTCGGCGATGGCTGGGGAGGCGGCGACGGCGGCGACGACGACGACGGATTCGGCGACGATGACGACGATGACGACGACAACGTACGGTGGCGGCGACGACGACGACGCAACGACGACGGAGGCGGCGACGACGACGACGGCGGTGACAATGACTTTGGCGACGACAACGGCGGCGACGACAACTTCGGCCATGACGGCGGCGACGGCGACGGCTACGGCTGCATCGACGACGACGGCGGTGTCGACGACGTCGACGACGTCAACGATTGTGGCGACGACGACGACGGCGATGACGACGACGCCGACGACGACGGCGACGGCGACGGCTGCGGCAACGGCGGCGGCGGCGACGGCGACGGCGACGAAGACGTCGGCGACGATGGCGACGACTGCGGCGACGACGACGACGACAACGGTCGGACGGCGGCGGCGACGCCGACGACGACGGCGGCGGCGACGTTGACAACGGCGATGGTGACGGCTACGGCTGCGGCAACGACTTCGGCGGCGTCGACGACGGCGTTTGCGGCGACGACGGCGACGGCTGCGGATCTGTCGGTTGCTGCGACGGCGACGACGACGACGACGACGACGACGACGCGACGACAACAATCTTCCAGCGCACTGATGAATGCAATGCCTCATTGTTTTGTTGTTTTCGGCCTCTGTAGGGGTCCTCGCCGGCCACAGTGACCGTGCAAACTCAATTGGGGATGCATAGCTGGTCTCCAGGCAAGGGGTGGGGAATTCCAAGAACCCCGTATTGAACAAGTCAGAGCATCAGTTTTCGCGGGACGGGGCCGACGACGACGATGACGACGATGGCGACTTCGTCGGCGCCGACGTCTTTGCCGACGCCGACGCTCACGACGACGCCGACGCCAACGCCGCCGACGACGACAACGCCGTGGACGACGCCGACGCCGTTGACGAAGACGATTACGACGGAGACGACGACGATGATGACGACGACGGCAACGACGACGTCGACGAAGACGACGACGACGGTCGGCGGCGGCGACGGCGGCGGCGGCGGCCACGACGACGACGACAACGACGAAGTGGCGCGTGCGACTTTGGGCGGCCACGGCCTTCCGGTCCCGGAGGGCGGCCAGCCGCCCTCAATGCGGGCGCCCACGGCCCCCCCCCCGGGCGGCCGACTGGTTGGCGGGCGGCCGTTGGCCGTCGGCTGTCGTCGGCGGGCGTCCCGTCGGCCTTGGCGGCCTCCGTCCGTGAAACGGGCAAACTGGACCATCGTGAACGAAACTCGACCTGGGCCCGCCCTGGACCCCATGTTTCTGCCGTGTTTTCCAGGCCGGCTCGATCCGTGAGGAGGGCCCCCGGGTCCGGAACGGGGCTGAACATACGCCGTGGTGAAAAATTGCGGCGCCACGATCTTAGGGACGGCTCAAGACCCCGAGGCATTCGGATCATAGTTTGGCTCTCCAGAGGCCGTCTGGGGCGATTCGGGCGTCCCCGCGACGCTCTCAGCGAGGCGCAGCCGCTGGAACGCACCCCAAGGCTGCAAAACTGCCGAGGAAACGCGTGAGAGCCTCGACTCTGGAATCGGGCGCCAGGATTTCAGCGAAGGACGACGCGATGCGCGAACGGCCCGCCGTAGGCCCGCCAGAGGTGGGGCCCACCCAAGGGTCCCGCTTTCGCCGGGCCTGACCGCCGGCGCCCGCCAGAGGTGTGCGACGTCGGCGGCGCGAACGTCCTCCTGCTGGTGCTGCTCGACCCCGCCTCCGCGCGGGCGGGCACCCCCAGGGGGCGTCAACGGGCGTCGGCGGTCGTCGTTGGTCGTCGTCGTCGTCGGGCGTCGGGCGTCGTCGCTGTCGCCGTCATCGGACGGGGGGCCCCGCGTCGTCCTCCCCATCACCCCCGTCGCCATCCCCCATGCTCCCGTCCTCCTCCCCCCTCGTCGTTCTCGCCCCCCCTCTCCTCCCCTTGGTCCCCCTGTTCCTGTTCCTGTCGATTTGAGTGTTCGTCGAACGCAGCCCTCCCACCCCGGGTCGGTCGGCCCTGGGGGGGTTGTTCGAACTAGAGGCGGGCGGCTCCCTCCTCCTCCTCCTCATCCTCCTCCTCCTCCTCCTCCTCCTCCTCCTCCTCCTCCAGGCGGCGGTCGTGGAGCCGTCCTCGGGGCAGGTCGCCCAGCTCGTGGTGCTGAACTCGCAGGACGAGGACGGCCGCCGTCGTCGCTCACGGGCGCCTCTATTCCTCCCTTTCCTCCATCCGTCCTCCTCCTCGCCCTCCTCTCCCTCCTCCATCCGTCCTCCTCCTCCTCCCACTCCTCCATCCGTCATCCTCCTCCTCCCCCTCCCGCGTCCTCATCCCTGGATTCCTGGTTGCGGGAACTGCGGCCCTTCATACCTTGCCCCCACTTCCTGCTTGGGCGTGGACCCAGCACGCGCTGACCCCTTCATGTTGGGGCTGCGCCCTCGCAGGCGTAGGCAGATAGATGGGCCAGCCATCCTCAGGCAGTGTAACCCGACAGTGGCCTCCTCATCCCTGGCCACTAACGCCAACATGCCCAGATGAGCGGTAATCCGCGCGCAGCGCATCGTCAAATGAATCTAAAAATCTACCTCCTCCTCCTCCTCCTCCTCTTCCTCCTCGCCCTCCTGGTTTTCTTCCCTCCTTCTCGCCACCCTCCACCCTCCTCGGCGGCGGCGGCGGTGACGGCAGCGACGACTCAGAGGAGGTAAATATACCGCTACCGCTAATTAATTACCCACTCCTCGTCTTCACGGCTGGATTCGCCACGAAATCTTGGTCAGAACGTGTGAGAGGTCCGAAGAGTAGCGGTATCGGTATTTGGTGGTTTCGACGACGACGTTGACGACGTTGACGACGTTGACCTCGATCACGCGCGCGACCCGGCCAGAGGAGACGACCGACGGAGGATTGCTGCCGTCCGACCTCGTGCGGGGCGCCCGCGAGGACCCCGCGCGTTCGGTGCGCCGCGGGCCCGCCGCCCTCCCCGGTCGGGCGGGTGCCTCGAGGACGAGGTGCCTCAAGTCCGAGGAGGAGAAGGCATCGATACCGCTACCCTTTTTTTTCGTCCTCCTGGGAGGGCCTCGCCGCCACCGCTGGAGTCGCCTCGAAGTCCTCGTCAGAACGCACCCCGGGAGAGGTACCGGGAGTTGCGGTATGGGTACCTTTTGGTTTCTCCAGGACCGCTGAGGCAGGGCACATTCTCAGGGTCCAGCTCGATCCGATTCGATATCGATTTTGGCCAGTCCGATCCGATTTGGTTCCGCTGTTCTGACGATCCGGTTCGGCCCGATGCGTGCATTGCCCGACGCGTGCACTGCGTTGTTGTGCAGTCTGTCGCAGCCCGGCCGATTCGATTTCGACCCCATGCCGATGCAGCCCGATCCGGCGCTCTTTCTGATTCGATCCGATTTCCAGATTCGAGGTGCCTCGAGGACGGGGTGCCTCGAGGACGAGGTGCCTCGCGGACGGGGTGCCTCGTGGACGGGGTGCCTCGTGGACGGGGTGCCGCAGGGGACGAGGGCGCGGCGCCCCGAGGACGGGGTGCCTCGAGGCCTCGAGGGCGGGGTGCCTGGAGGGCGAGGTGCCGCGAGGGCACCCCTGCAGATGCTGTCGTGCGGGTGGGCTCGTGTCCCGGCGAAGCGCAGTTCCGACTCCCGCTGCTCCTCGTTGTTCTTCCTCGTCCTCTCCCCTTCCTCCTCCTCCTCCTCCTCCTCCTCCTCCTCCTCCTCCTCCTCCTCCTCCTCCTCCTCCTCCTCCTCCTCGTCCCCCCCCCTCCTCCTCGTCCCCCCCCTCCCTTGGACTCGCATCTGCCGAATCGCATTCTCAATCCACTCCGCCCCCTCCTCCTTTTCCTCACCCTCCTCCTCCTCCTCCTTTTCCTTCGCCTCCTTCTCCTCCTCCTCCTCCTCTTCCTCCTCCTCTTCCTCTTCCTCTACCTCCTCATCCTCCGCCTCTTCCTTTCCCTCCGCCTCCTTCCTTATGTGTCTCCGCATCCTTCCCTTCTTCTCCCCCCCCCTCCTGTTCTTCCGCCTCCTCCTGCCTCTCCTCGTCGACGTCGTCGTCCTCCTCCCGCGCCTGTGGCTGGTTGGTTGGGCGAGGGCGGCTCCGAGGGACCCGAGGACCCAGGTCCCCCGAGGCCTCAAACGTGTGTAATGTTTGTTCGGCACATTTGCTTCTCCGCCTCCCCCCTCCGCTTCGCTTCCCTTGAGCCTGCTTTTTGTTGAAGGTCTGCGCGAGAACGGCCGTGATCGGGCCTCTCCCTCCCCCCCACCCCCAGAACGCGTCATGTTATTGACATTCACGTGTGCTCCTCTCCCCCCGTGGATCACGTCACGGTGCTCACGGCGGCCCCCCGCTGTGATGTGATCGGGGTGGGACGAACCCCCTCGATCACGCCCGGTATGTATCGCGAATAATACAAAGACCGGCTCTTTCTGCTGTGCCTAATTCATTTGCGTGGCATCCCCAGGCTTGGTCGACCCTGGTAGGGTTGCTCCGACTCCGACGTCGCAGGCCAAAACAGCGTAGTGCAAGACGGGCCACGTTCTCGTCTGTTCCTGCGGGTTTGCTCGCCTCGGCATGCTTTCCAGTGGCTGCGCTTCGCCGGGGGTTTGGGGGTGCCAGAGTTGTCCCGAACGGCCGCGAGAGATCCGAGCTAGGCCCCACAACCCAACACCCAACGCAGTGAAACAAGCAGCGAAGACGGAGGTGTTTCGCCTCCGGAGCCCTCGGGGCCACCCAACAACGGCTCGGGATGAACGATCGATCCTGGGGAAAGGGTCGGGCTTCTGTGGGCCCCGTATTGAAACCAACTATCCATCGGATCTCTGAGTCCGACGATGTGGAAGAGGAGGAGAAGGAGGAGGAGGAGGATGAGGCGGAGGTGTTGTCGGAATGTGCTCCTCTCTGTCCGCCAAGCCCGTGTTCGCAAGAAGGGGACCAGGCTGCGTCCTGTGTGGATTCCGAAGCCTACAGCAGCAGCGCGAGGAGGAGGAGGAGGCGCACGAGAACGAGGACGAGGATGGCCAGGAGGAGGACAAGGACCAGTGCACACCCAAGACGCACCAAAGATGTCACAATAACCCCCCTCTCCAGGTTGCCTCTTTCATAGGTTCCTGGGATAATTCATTTTCATTGCGGGAAGTGGCCCAGTAGATGTCATCAACCGTCAGAGAAACTTCAATCGTGCCAGAACTCAATTCTTGGGATTTCAACGCCGCGGATCGAGGTGACTGTTGCGCCCTGGCAATCCGAAATCGCACCAGAGCGCCGTTTTTGGGGCTTCAACAACGCGAATCAACGAATGTGTTGGGTCCTGACAGTCTTTAATCGTGCCAGAACTCCATCCCTAGGACTTCGACTATACGATTTCTTGAGCATGAGCATGTCGCGAACTCTTATGACGAATTTGCGCAGCGCCGGGGCGATACCCACATTCTGAAATGGAACCGCCTTCCATCCTTGAAACGGTTGCAAACTTCTTCACGAATGTGCGAGGCGCCCAGGCGAGAGCAACATTTTGAAATGGAACCGCTCGCCATCCTTGAAGCTGCGGCAATATTTTTGGACGAATGTGCGCGGCGCTAAGCCGAGAGCAACGTTTTGAAACCGAGCTGTCATCCATCCAATTGCTGCAAGCCTGTTTGACGAATGTGTGCGGCGCTATGGCGAGAGCCACATTTTGAACACGACCCGCCCTCCACCCGTGAAGCTGTGCAGACTTCCAGCTTCCTGATCATAAACGGTGGGGGGGTCTCGGGCGCAACGCCCGGCCCGCCCTGCCGACACGTCTGGGGGTGCGACAGGGGGGATTCTTCTTTGAGGAGGAGGACGGGGAAGGCGAAGAGGTAGACGAGCAGGGTGAGGAGGATGACGAGGCGGGCGAGGATGAGGGCCAGGAGGACGAGCAGGGCGAGGACCAGGACGAGGAGGCGGCGGCGGCGAGCGCACCACAGCGGCGCGGCCCCGGCATTGGCGGGCAGGACGTCCTGGAGGTCTTCCGGACGAGTTCCTTCGCGCCCGCGGAGCCGCGCCGCTCCCGTCGGGGGGTGGCGGGGGAGGCAGGGGGGGATGGAGGGTTTCTCCGAAGGGCTTAGGCGACCCGTTCTTCTCCTCCTCCTCCTCCTCCTCCTCCTCCTCCTCCTCCTCCTCCTCGTTCTCCTCCTCCTCCTCCTCCTCCTCCTCCTCCTCCTCCCTCCTCCTCCCTCCTCCTCCCCCTCCTCCACCTCCTCCTTCTCCTCGTCCTCCTCCTCCTACTCCTCCTCCTCCTCCTCCTCCTCCTCCTCCTCCTCCTCCTCCTCGGGTCGCCTACGGCACCGGAGGAAACAGTGCAGGGGAGGAGGAGGAGGACGAGGTTCGATGTTTTGCAGCGTTTTCATCGGTCCTCGGCGGTTTGTCAGCTCGTGGTGCGCTCCAGCGGCTGCGCCTCGCCCAGGGCGTTCCGGGCTTTCCAGAATCGTCCCGAACGGCCGCCAGAGAGCGGAGTGACGAACCGAAAGCATGAGGGGTTTGGGGCTGCTCCTGAGATCCTGGCGTCGCGATTTTTCACCACGGGCGATTTTGCCTCGTCTCGGTCCCCAGGGCCCTCACAGATCAGTTCCGGGCCGAGAATTGGCGCAAAACGATAGGGCCCAGGCCTTTGGCCGAGTGGTTTCATAATTTAGTCCGTGTCGTCGGATCTCAGGAGAAGGAGGATGAGGTGGAGGGGGAGGAGCTTCGGACGCCCCCGCTGCATCTTCCACCTCGGCGGCGCAACAATGCCGCGTCTCTCCGCAAGCGCAGGCCAGGTTGAGCCCTCAAGGTCATCATACTCTTCGCCCCCTACTATCCCTGACGCCACTTGACTCTTCAGGCACCGTCACGGCGCGAACGCGTCGGTTCTCTCTAGAACTCGTGTCAGACAGGTCGCGCCCATGTACCTCCCGACTGCGCAGACATCCGCGCGCAACGCGCAAGCTGGCCGCGCAAGGTGGCGCTCGAGCGCCCTCAATCCGCCACCTGCCAAAGCGCACGGTAATCTCAGTACCACCTCCTCCCCCTTTCTATTCCTCCCCCTCCTCCTCCTCCTCCTCCTCCTCCTCCTCCTCCTCCTCCTCCTCTCCCATCCCCCTCCTCCTCCTCCTCCTCCTCCTCCTCCTCCTCCTCCTCCTCCTCCTCCTCCTCCTCCTCCTCCTCCTCCTCCTCCTCCTCCTCCCCTCCTCCTCCTCCTCCTCCTCCTCCTCCCCCTCCCCCTGCCTCGCCGCTCCTGCTCCACCTCCTCCGAATTCCGACGTCACGAAACAAGGCAACATCGTAGCCCAAAACGACCAGAGCTCTGGGCCCCATCCTTCTTCTGCATTCTCCGGGTCGGATCGATCCAGACAGGCCCGAGACGAGGCAAAATCGCCCGGATCTCAGGATCGACCCAACCCCTTGAGGTTTTCGGGTCGTAGCTCGGCTCTCCAGCGGCCGTTCAGGGCGATCCAGGCACGCCCGGAACGCCCTCGGCGAGTCGCAGCCGCCGCACCCCGAGCTGGAAGGAATCGCCGAGCAGCCCGACGCCCGACGACCTCGAGCTCGAACACCTCAAGCCCGACGACCTCGGGCCCGAAGGCCTCGAGCCCGAAGGCCTCGAGCCCGAAAGCCTCGAGCCCGGAAGCCTCGAGGAGGGCGCCGCCCGCGCGGCGTGCCGCGCGGGCGCCCCCCCCTCGCACGGCCCGCTCGCACGGCCTCGCGCGGCCCCCACGAGGCCCTGGCCTCTCCGCCCCGGGCGCCGCCCGCTCAGGACATGGGCGCCGAGCAGGCGGGGCACCCGCGCCGCGGCGGGGTCGGAGGAGGAGGAGGAGGAGGAGGAGGAGGAGGAGGAGGAGGAAGAGGAGGAGGAGGAGGAGGATGGGAGGAGGAAGGAGGGAGGAGGGAGGAGGGAGGAGGGAGGAGGGAGGAGGGAGGAGGAGGAGGAGGAGGAGGAGGAGGAGATGGGGGACGAGAGGAGGAGGAGGAGGAGGAGGAGGAGGAGTACGTAGGAGGAGGAGGAGGGAGGGGGAGGAGGGAGGAGGGAGGGGGGAGGAGGGAGGAGGGAGGGGGGAAGAGGAGGAGGAGGAGGAGGAGGATGGGAGGGTGAAAGAAGGTGTCTGCAAGAGGGGGTCTGCAATGGGTGCTGAATGGCCCATGTCTTCTCAATATATCGCTCATGTAGGTGATCGTGTACGATTGGCATCCAATGTTGGCGGGCCTATCGCTCGTGCCCGCGCGTTGCCCGTGCGGGCAAACGCACCGTCCATCCATTTTCGATCATGCGTGCGGGCGGTTTTGCATGTCGCGTGGGGCGGCGAAGTGGAGTTCAAGTGTGTTCTGATTGCGCGAATGATGATCGCGTATGTTCCCAAACGACGACTTGTCTACCCCCAAGACAAATTTGGAATGGGCCCTCCGATTCTCCCACAATTTGAATTCGCATTTCCATGTTTCCAAACTGTGAGTTCACATGTCCCTTGTTCCCACAATGTGAATTCAGATTCTGGCCCCTGTCATACAGGTTCCTATATAACATTCCAAGATGTGAGTTCACATGTCCCTTTTATTCCAAAGTGTGAATTCCCAGTTTCGTTTTTCCCAAACTTCGACATCATATTTGCTTTTCCCCGCAATGTGAATCAACATTTTGCCCTGGCCTTCAAGATCCCCCAAACTGAGGCGCAGTGTTCCACATGTCAGAGTAGCTGGGCCGATTTTGACAAATCACACAGCCGCTTTCATTCCAACCTTCTCTTGTTGCGCCCTCAACGCACGTTGCCTTCGTCGCCTTTGCCCAACCCCCCGACTCCTTGCTTCGTTTACCCCCAAATTTCGCGCATGGGTGCAGGCGTGGAGCTTCAATTGGTTCCTGCGCCGAACACAGCAATCGAGGATGCATCGCCCATGCGTAGCCCGCTGAGACACCATTGCCGGGGCCTTGCGCCCGACCCCCACATTCACCTTCCAAGAGAAGGAGGAGAGGAGGAGGAGGAAGAGGAGGAGGAGGAGGAGGGTGAGGAGGAGGAGGAGGAGGAAGAGGAGGAGGAGGAGGAGGAGGGAGGAGGGAGGAGGGTGGAGGGAGGAGGGAGGAAGGAGGAGGGAGGGGGGAGGAGGAGGACGAAGACGAGGACGAGGACGAGGACGAGGACGAGGACGAGGAGGGAGGAGGGAGGAGAGAGGAGGGAGGAAGGAGGAGGGAAGGGGGGAGGTCCCGGCGTCACGACGTGATTCGCGCTTGGCGTTGTTGCCCGAATTCGGGCATTGGGCCCCTCGCGGATCGATCCGGCGCAAGAAGTGGCGCAGGATGATGAGTTTTTTGGGGCTCCAGTCGGGATGTTTTATGGTGCCTCCACCTTTTCACGCAGTCGGATCTGACGGCGGGATCGCCGTCCCTCGTCCAGCACCGAGCACATGCCAGGGGCAGCGTGAGGGGTTCCGGGGCCTCCTCTCCTCCTTCTTTTCTTCTGCTCATCTGCTTCTTTTGCCACTTCCTCTGTGGCGGGTATGACACCCACGGGGTCGGCATGGGTGTGTCCGATTCGCTGATCGACGTGATGGGCTTGTACGTGGCGCTTTTCATCGAGCTCGTGACGGACAAGGGCGGCTTTGGAGTTCGTGCTGCACGTCGGCCTCCGCGCGGTAGCAAGCCGAATGTGTGCAGTTTTTCCGCGCGGGGATGGTCCGCTTCGGAGCGGTTATTCCTTCTCTTATGTGTTATTATTATTCGTCTCCTTCTCATTATCATGCTCTTCTTAGTTTCCATATTGTTACCTGTATGATTAGTACGTGTGTTCGTGCCTTCGTCTTCTTATTATGTGTATTTTTCCTGCTTCCTGCTCTTCTCTTTCTTTCTTCGTTCCTCCTCCTCCTCCGCCTTGGGTGGGGGTAACAGTAGGGAAATGTCGGGTTCGAGGTCGTTGGAGTTCTCGTCAACTCCAGGCGTCTTTTCAGATTCGTGGCGCCCTTCAGCAGCCGCGCCTCGCCGAGAGGCGTCGGGGCTGTCCAGATCGGCCCAGGCGGGCCTCTCTGGCCAAGGTGTCCCCTAATAAGTCGCAAGGAAGGTCAGCCTCGTACCCAGGGACGGTGTAAGTCCGTTCGGCCCCCTCACGCTGATTCAGGTAAATTTACTTTCGGAAATCTTTGTACATTTTTCCGAGCTGCGGTGGGCGCGCCCCTGGCGCGCTCCGCGCGCAAGGGATGGGGGGCGCAGCGCCGAGCCAAGAAATCCGCGCGGGCCCCCTTGAACAGTTGATGTTCACGCCGATCTTCATTCGCTCAATCGGCGCGGACGCGGGCCAGGCTAGGGGGGCCCCAGCGCTTTGGCATCGCAGGAAGGAGAAGCGGCACCGCCGCTGGCAAAGCTTTGGCGCGCCCGCCTCGGCACTTCAACCCTGGGGCGAGGAGCGACCCATGAGTTGTTGAGATTGCCCCTGGGTGTTCGCGGGGCCTGTCGAGGGCAGCTGGGGCTATTCAGTGGGGGCCTGTTGAGACCAGCTGGGTCAACTTGGACGGGTTGTGTTTGCGCAGCCCGAAGCCTTCCCCAACCGCCGCCGCCTGGCAGAGATCGCTAGCTAGATAACCAAACCCAAGACTCCAGCCGTCACGTTTTTTTCCGCAGCGTCGGCCCCAAGTCGGGGGCGGCCAAGAAGGGTGTTATGATTAGGGGGAGGTGCACGCCATGGCCTGAGCCATTGGATCTCCCCGATATTACGGTTCTCTTTCGAATTTCAAAGCGTTCTCTGCCCCCCCCCCCCCCCAGTTCAGCGCGCATGCGTCGGGCCATGATGATCTGCAACCCTCCCTTTTTGGATGCCCCTCCTCTTGGACGCCCCCGACCCAGAGGTCTCGATCCTGGGACCAGTTTGTCATCCATATACGTTGTTTGACGGTCTTTGGGCGCGGCGAGAGCGAGAACTGGTAAGAAATTATCCGCCGTCGTTTTTGTTGGGTTGTCTGTGTGCCTCCTTGTGTATTTCAGAGCAGACGGTGAGAATGTCGTGAGCGGGGCGCTTGCTTCCGCACCGCTCGGGGGATCCGCCAGGGGGGCAGTCTGATAGGTTGCCTCGAGCGTGGCGCTGGCTTCAGCACCCCACGGAGGAGCCGCCAGGGAACAGATTTTGAGGATGTCTCGAGCGATACACGAGCTTCAGCCCCCCAAATGGGGAGCCGCCGAGTGGTTGGACACTCGCCCATTCGATGCTGGATTGTTGGGATGTCTCGAGCGAGGCTCTTGTTTTGAACTGCAGTTCCCTGTCTATTCCGAACACAATGGTTGCCTCGATGCAGGAAAAGTGGCGGCCGCCAGGGATGAGCAGGTGTGACGGAGGAGAAGTTAACAGAGCGCAAAAGGAACAGAGAAGAGGGACAAAGAGAGTGGATGGGGTCACGGCGAGGAGGAAGAGGAAGGAAAGGGGAGGGGATCGCGAGGAAGGCGGGCACTTGCCAGGGAGGAGGAGGAGGGAGGACGAGGAGGAAGGAGGAGGAAGCAGGAGGCGGGACGAGTACAGCCACATGGGGAGGATGGGAGAGGACGAACAGGGACCCAACAGGAGGGAAACAGGAGGGGGGTAGGACGAGCAGGAGGAGGGAGAGGGAGGGACCTGCTCACCGTCTGTTTTTGAGTTGTTGTCGTCGTCGTCGTCGTCGTCGTCGTCGTCGTCGTCGTCGTCGTCGTCGTCATTGCCCCTCATCGTAAGCGCCGCCGTCGTCGTCGTTGTCGTAGTCGTACCCATTGTCCACTTGGATTCGTTCTCACTGCCAGACAGAGTGGGACGTGCCAGGAAATCATATGCTCATATGGGGATCTCCGCGTCGGAAATTTATATGTTGGCGAACGTATTTGCCTGGCACTCCGCCCTTAGATTGTCTTGCATTGAATGCGTATCGGCGAATAGCGTGCGTTAGCGCCTACTAGCACGCGCACCTCACCCAATAGCGCCCAATATGGCTCAATCGTGCCATATGACGGGGATACATCACGTCCGTGTCACGGGGTTTTGGACGTGCTTTGAGCGCCATGGGGACGACCGAAAGTCTCCGCAATATGCTTTCTAGCAGCTCCTAGCTGGGGCCTTGCTGGTTGTCTTGGGTGATAAGCTGGAGTAGCCCAGGCCTCCCACATGGGGTCCGAGTGGAAAGGGGTCTGAGGATCCCGCCGCATCGCCGACTCAGCGGCGGTGCGGCTCGATGTGGATCCCGATGGTCTCCGTACTGGTGGCGCCGATGCATTTCCGACGTCGTCAATGCCTTGCCGATGTAGTGGCGATGCATCGGCGATGCGGCGCGATCCTCCGACCCCCATCCAATCGGACCCCATTTGCGAGGCCTCCAGTAGTGGGTCTGGCGGTGGGAGGTGCAATCGTTCGTGGGGTGTGTACCATTGCGCGCAGTAGCGCGCAGGTATTGCAGGTGTGTGCCAAATATTGCACAGGCAACAATTATTATTGCCTGTGAGAAACAATCTACGCAACTGCGTGCACACGCGCAAGCTATTGGTTGCACCCAGCGGGCAAATGCTGTATACAGGCGACAACTACTCGGCGGTGAGCGACGGGGGGAAGTGAGGAAGAGGAGATCCTCTCAGACGGCGGCGCGGCCTCTCAGAAGCCGCCCGCCCTTCTGCTCAGTCTTCTGTGCCTTCCGGGAAGGCGCGGGAAGCTTCTGAGAAGGCCAGGGGGGCTTCCGGACCTTCCGAAAAGACCCGCCTTTTCTCCCTTCCCCCGTGGGTCCGCCGCCGAACTGCCTCTCTCCCCGCGGACCCATGAGCGCCAGACTCCTTGCTCCCGCCGCCGCGGCCGGAGGCTCTGGGCACGGGGGCACTGCTGGAGGCGATAGGGTCTCGGGGCGGGCGGGGTCCGAGGGTTCGAGGCGGAGGTTCGAACTCAGGCTCGACCCTCCACCTCCATCTTCCATACCTTCCGACCTCTGCGGAAGGCGCGGAAGGTGATGCAATGAAACTATTGAAAGCCTCAGGAACGCACGAAAACTAAGCATTTCACGAAGCGCATGAGTATGGAAGGTCAGCGCGGAAGGTCTGGAATAATGAGGGCGAGGGGAGATGTCTCTGCAGATTCGGTCTTTGGGGCCCTCGCCCGGCCCTGGGGTAGTCAGACGAGGGCGCCGGATGAAAAGCTGGCCCTGTGGAAAGGGTCGGGGTTTCCGGGGACCGCGCCTTGAAAAAATCTAGGCATCGGATGTATGGGAACGTTTGAGATTCAGGGTTTTCGGACATATTCGTCGGTCCTCGGCCGTTTGCCTGCCTCGGGATGCGTTCCATCAGCCCAGCGTTCCAGGGGTGCCCGGATCGGCCCGATCGGCCGCCGGAGACCCGAGTTATTCGGGGGCGGAAAAGAGGGGGGTGATGACTAGGGGGGGGGATATCTTGGCGGGGGCCACGATTTGTCCTCAGATTTCAGGGCGCCTCTTCTCATTTCATGACGTCCCGGGCCCCCCACCCAAGGGCCGCGCACATGCTGCCGGCCATGATTTGCACCCCCCCTCTTGGACACCTCCCTTTTGGCCGCTCCCGAGTTATGACCCGAAGTCCAAACCAGGATCATTGGGCGGGACTGGCTCAGGGGGGGTGCATCGACCCCCAATCGCCCATTCATCGCCGATAAGGCCTGTGGAGGGGCGCGATAGCCCACCCCGCCCACGAGCGTGGGGTCCGCTATCGGGGGTCTATTGTCAATCTGTCGGCGATTCCAAGTCCTCCTCCTCCTCCTCCTCCTCGATTCCAGGTCCATGTTTCTCCCCCTGGGCCGGTCGCCCCCATGTCGTTGCACCTCACGGAGGAGGGACCTCGGACCGTGAAGACCTCGCTGGCAGCCTCCGTTCCCGTCGCCACGTTGGTTCAAGCCATTCGTTCTCGGTTTGAGGGTTGACGCGGGAGCGGACTTAAGCTCTCGCGACAGCTCTGTGTTCCCATACTTGCGGAGGCCTGGCTCTTGATGATCAGCGACCTAGACCAACAATTTGTCATAGATAATCCAGTCCAACCCCAATTAACCAATAAGCGGGAGTTTCGATCGAGGGACCCTCGCCAATGCCCTATGCAGATGCTCGTGCCGCTGATGATTAGAGTCTCGGGAGCGATGGTGGCGCAGCAGAGTCATCTAATTCGGTGGTCACTGCATCAAATGACCACACGGCGACCATCTGGGACATTTTGACCGGGGCTGCGCTCATCACCGTGAGGCACGACCTTGAAGTGAACACAACCATATTTGATGCAGCCGGCATCACGATTGCCACTGCCTCTCAGGATGGAACGGTGAAGATCTGGGATGCGTCCTCGGGGGAGCAGATGAGTGAAGTGAAGCACGGTAATTCTGTGTACAACGCTGTTTTTGATTCGTCTGGTTCTCTCTTCGTCTCAGCGTCAGATGACAAGACGGCTTCGGTGTGGGACGTAGCAAGTGCGACCGAGGTGGTCAAAGCGAAGCATGACCATGCCGTTTACCAAGCTTCCTTCAATTTGTCAGCTGCACGTTTCGTCACAGCGTCGCGCGACAGCTCGGCGTGTGTTTGGGACGTGTCTACCGGTGCGAAGCTCTTCACAGTGAAGCATCGTGACAGGTGTATGAATGCCAGATTCGATGCGGCAGGCGACAGAATTGTCACGGCTTCATTCGATAAGACCTCGACGGTTTGGGATGTGAGAAGCGGTGCTCAAGTGTTTATTGCGAAGCACAGCAAGCTTGTATTCAGCGCAGGGTTTGATCAGCTCGGGACACACGTGGTCACTGCAGGGGATGACCACGCGGCGAGAGTTTTGGATATCACCGCGGGCAAGGCGTTGGCTACACTTCGGCATCGCGATCGAGTCTACACAGCGTTCTTCGATCCAACAGGAACTCGTGTGATCACAGGATCGGCAGACCGTTCTGCGGGGGTGTGGGAGATAGCCACTGGTGCACGACTTCTTGAAGCAAAGCATGCGGGGCATGTCGTGAACGCTACATTCGACTTGTCTGGAGAGTTGGTCCTCACTGCCTCCAGCGACCACACAGCGGCAGTCTGGCGGGTAGCAACTGGAGAGCGCGTGCAATCATTTCGACATGGCGATGTCGTGAATGCCGCTGCATTCAGCTGACGCAGCTATGCGGACTGAAACACATAAAATGGCAGTCCCCGCGTTTTTATTCAGAATGGTTTGAAACAGTGCACGCTTCCAAGGGGACCCCAGGGTCCCAAAAGAGTTTCCGAAGTAGTCCAGTATTGATTCGAAGGCGGCCCAAAGATCGTCCCGAGATGGCCCCAGAACCCCTTAAAGGGTTCCCAGCCCCTTGAAAAAGGCCCCGCGAGACCTCAAGGGACTTACAGGCGACCCCCAGATACCCTCCGATGTTCCCAAGAGAGCCACGAGCAGCACCAGAAGGCACCAACATCGCCCCACGAGGTCCCCAAGACCTCCCTGCGACTCGGCAAGCCCGCGATGCACGACCTCTCGAGCTAGAAGCGCTGCCAGCCTGTCCATGTGTTTGTCTGGTGCCAGAGATGTCGAAGAGCGCGTCAGAGTCTTCGACGCTGCTCTTCCATCTCTTCAGGTGCATCTGAGGAGGAGGAGGAGGGGGAGGAGGACGAGACGAAGGAGAAGGAGCGGGGAGAAGAAGGAGGAGGAGCAGGTCGAGGAGGAGAAGGAGGATGAGGAGCAGGAGGGGGCGGGGGAGGAGGGATGTGAGGAGGAGGAGGGGGAGGAGGAGGAGGAGGAGGAGGAGGAGGGAGAGGCCGAGGAGGAGGAGAGGGAGGTTGAGGAGGAGGAGGAGGAGGAGAAGGAGGAGGAGGACAAGGAGGAGAACAGGAGGCGGAGGAGGAGAGAGGGAGGAGGAGGAGTCGCCCAGACGGCGAAGCACGACAGGGCCAATGGGCGCACTCAGCTTTGAGCTCCCTTGGAGATCAATATCATTCTGTCTTCTACTGTGCATGCAAGCTTTGAGGACTCATTCCGACAGTGCCGAGGAGGAGGAGAAGGAGGAGGAGCAGGAGGATACAGGAGGAGGAGGAGGAGGAGGAAGAGGAGGAGGAGGAGGAGGAGGAGGAGGAGGAGGAGGAGGAGGAGGAGAGGAGGATCGGATCGGCCATCCACGGAAGCAAGCTGCATGGCTTCGACATCTGGGGGGGGGGGCGGGGGATGAGCGTCACAGCCTACGGCGCCCGCTGTGCGGAATCATTCATTTTCTCCCCAGGAGCAGAGCCCAGGGAGAAAGACACAATGACAACAAATGGGGGTATACAACACTTCGACTAGGCTGCATCATGTGCGAGGCTTGCGTGCTTTACGCATGGATTGCCTTGTCTTGTGCCGTTCCGTGCCGCAGTTCTCTGTGGTTCAGGCGCCATGTGAGGAAGCATTTGCTTATTCAAACGCGCTTGTGACTGATTGAGCCTCCCTCTCTCCTCCTCCCCTCCTCCTGATTGAGGGGGGGAGCAGGGATGGATGAGGAGAGGCGAAAGAGGAGGGAGGGAAGGACGGAGTATGAAGAAAGAAGAGAGGAGGAGGAAAAGGAACAGGAACAGGATATCCGTAGCCATTTGGCTCAAGGCAACATCTGTGGTTTCCTCCACACGCGAGGTGGCGACCGACGCGTTGTGCGCCCCCCCAGGCGACTGCCAAGCCAAGGGTGCACTTCCCTTTCAGGCGTGAGGGCCTTATCTCTCACTCATTCATTTCGGCTACAGTACGGCAGCTACGGCACTGCGTACTTCGTTTCGTTGGTGCACAGTGGCGGCGGTGGCAAGCCGTGGACCACGACGGGGACTTGCTGTGACAAGCGTTTCGGGTTCCCGAACACGCCTCTGCTTCTTGCTGCTGCGTGGGCAAGCCGTCCTCCTCGCCTTCAACAGCAAGGTGAATCTCAGCAGGCAGCTGAGGTGCCTGGCCCTGGGAACGGCAAGTTCACGCCAACGCGCACGGCCGCGGTGCTCGCCATGTCCGAACGTGTCGAGGCCTGCAGTGGCTGGCTGTCCGCTGGACAGAAGGCTCATCTGCTCTCGCTTCGTTCCGTCCAGGCTGGTGACCCGATCGCTGTCAGTCGTGCTGCGAAGCAGGACCATGGGACTCTCAGGGACCAGGTGCAGACAGCTAAAGGTGTTTGTGAGCGGGCGCAGGAGGTGCTCGCCAAGCAGTTGCAGAAGGCCGCAGCACTGCGCCACAAGCTCGAGGAGTTGGAGAAGCAGGATACCGAGACCGCCCGCAAGGCCGCCGTCGCCTATTCGGAGCTGGGCAAGGCGAGCAGCCCTGCTCCTGCTGACCCCACTGCAGCTTTGGTGGCACAGTTGCTGGAGATGTGGCGTCGACCCGCAGGTGGTGGAGACCGTCAAGAGTGTTGCCGGGGCCCGCCAGCAGGCCAAAGCTCTAGGCCTCCTAGATTGGGTCCAAGTACATGGGGCCGGGGGGTCGCGCCGCATCGCCGATGCACCGCGTCGCCGATGCACCGCATCGCCGATGCATCGCCGATGCGGTTCGATGCGGAGCCCCATTTGTTTCGCGTCGACGTCGCCGATGCATCGCCGACGTCGACGAGGTATCCCCTGTGCATCGTCGGTGCGTCGCCGATGCATCGGCGATGCGGCGCGACCCTCCGACCCCATCTACTCCGACCCCGTGTGGGAGGCCTGAATAAGCGGAAGCTGAAGCATTGCGCGCTGCAGAAGCTCTAGCGAAAAAAACATGCAGAAGCTGTTTCACGGGGGGCAAGAGGCTGCTGGCAGTGCTGGCGCTGATGCTGCTCCAGGCGGGCCCCGTGATATTGAGATCGACGTTGCCGTCGCTGTCGACTACCTCAAGCAGGGCGACTGGATCGACGTCCTCATCTCGGGTGAGGGCGGCACCACCCGGTCGCAGCTGGAGGCTGCACTCGACACTGCCGCCTCGGCGCACAGGTCGCCGAAGCTGGGGTAGCCCGGGCGCTGCGCCAGCCATCGGGCCCAAGGCCCTCACTTTTTGGAACCTATTTTCTGCGAGTGTCAGGGATCGCTCTGGGCGTAACATTTTCCTCTTTCCCCCTCTGTTTTGCAGGCGCATCTCGTCGGAACGCAGGAGACGCGGGTGGTCGAGGTTGAAGCCGTGGAGCATAATTTCAGGCGGCAAGGATGGACATGTAAATATTCACTTGCCGTGCCTACGTCATGGGGGAGTGGGATATTTGTTGTTGCGCTCTCTTTGCTGTTCCGAAGCGCGTTGGCTCGGCGCAGGTAGAAAGCGTTCCCATTCACTTGCGGCAGGGGAGGGCCATGATCACTTATGTGGGAGGGTTCGTTATTGGTGGCTTTCTTGCGTACGTCCTCCACCTGCGCGCATCCATCGGCCTCGCTCCTGCCAACTGGTATGTTCTCTTTCGTTTAGGGACCCAGCTGAAGATGGCTAACATGCCTTATAACATCATGGGTGCTTCCGATTGAACCCGCATTTTTTTTCAGGAGTCGGGCTGGGACGACGCGATCGACGGCGCCCCCTTCTACGCTGAGGCTGGCGCGCGTTCTCCAGCCGACCGCGCAATTTTTTTTCTATCGCGACTCAGGCCTTCACCCAGGGCACTGAGGTTTGGCAGCTGGCGGGCGTGGCCATCGCCCGCCGAGCGCCCACCCAGTTCCTGGCCAGGGCCCTTGATAAGATCCCGCGCGTTAGGATGGCCAAGGATATTCGCGGTCTCCCTCGTGATCTACCCGCGGGGCGCCGCGGCGAGCCCGACGAGGCTCGCTGGGGCGCTGCCACTTATGTTGTTGAGGAGGCGGCTGTTTCGGATTCCTGGAACGCGTTCGTTTCTGCTGCTGAACTGGAGCGGCTTCGAACATTTCAGCTTGGGAGAGCCAGTGATGCTCGGGCGGGGTGGTGTAAGCCATGTGGGCCTGCACCAGTACTGTTTCCTCGCCTTTGCCCGCAAGCTGTCCGGTGGCGGGCTCTCGCGGTGGCGCTCAAGAGTCTCGCGAGGCCTTTCACTGGGGCCCAGACTTATCAGCCCCACGGGAGGATCAGGCACGTTCGGGGCTCGCCAGATGCGCCCAACTCGGAGCTGGCCTCGCGCTTTCTTCTGGGGGCCTTGGATCGATGCGCCGTTTCCGATTGCATTGCGCCTGCTTTGCGACGGCGGTGCAGCGCCGACCGCCAGCGCAGGCAGGCTTCCCAGCTGCAGATTGTCAACTGGGACAGACGGGTGCAACATGACCCTTTGGAAGGGGCCGCTGCGCTGATTTAATATGCGCAGCTTCCTGATCCCTGGCGGCCCTCTACCCTCGGCGCCTTCGCCCCCCGCCCCGACGCCGGAGCATGGGGGAGATGGATGAGCACGAAAAAGAGTGGTCGGGGTGGTGACAGGCGGGCATGGAGCAGCCACCCTTCGCCTGGCCAGATGATCTTGGAGACAGGCCCCCCCCCCGACGGCTCAGGAAATCAAGAAAGTTCAGCGTCGCTTCCTGTAGGCGCGGGATGTGCATGCGACCGGGCACCGCCTAGGATGCTGCTGCGTTGGCCTGATGTTGCGCCGCAGGTGCTCTGCGACATGTTCGACAAGGTAGAGGCCCAGGTGCAGTGGCCACCCTTGGCCAAGAAGACGGCTTTCATCTTCAAACGTCGCGGTGGCGCGCGTCCTCTCGGGCTCCTTCGTCGCCTTCGCCGCGCGCAGGGTAGATTGCGACGCCCGCTTGTAGCCGAGTGGCAGCAGCGGAACTATCGTAGTTTCTGGCGTGGGGCTCGTGGCGGAAGCGCTGGCACGTGCGTTTACATTGAGGCTGTCTGGGCTGAGTATTATCTGTCGCGCGGGCTCTCTTCTGCCACTGTGCGTCGGTCGGCTTTGAAGAAGGCCTCCGAGCTGGCCGAACATCGCCATCTCTTCTCCGCAGATTTTGCCACTGTATTTCCACCGTGGCAGTTCAAGCTGCTAGTGCAGGTCTACAGGCCCCCTCGGCCGTTGGACCTCCATGGGGCTGCTAGTGATCGCCTCGTCGCCGACGCCGCGATTGTTCCTAGGCGTGGGCTCGTGACAGTACTATTGCAGCCCATCCTCTCGGGCCCCCCCGACGTTGCCCAGCAGGGGCATCGAGCAGTTTGTTTGTCGGTCGTCGTCGACGATTTCGGCTTTCAGGGATCTGGGTAATCCCGCCGAGTGGTGTCTGACATTGTTGGTGGATCCGTCGCTTCGCAGCGCGGGCTTCGGCGCGTCGACCTGCGCCCTGCAATGGGCGAGACGCGCGCGCCCGCCAGCGACGCCACGCTGCGCGACCAGCTGGCTAGGGTTTTTTTGTTCCTTGCGAGCGCACGGCGTCGCGCGTGACAGGAATCTCGGCGTTGACTTCAGCTCGGGCAGGTTTCTCAGACGCCCCAGATCAAAGCTTCCAGCGATGGGCCGACGCGGCCGAAACATTTCTTTGACGGGGCCGCCGGGCGAGATGCGATGGCGATCGCGCCGCGGGCCACGCTGGAAGCGCCCGTCGCAATTGGAGCCGCGGTGCACGGCGCTGCGGCACAGGGGCTGGATCACCTTCGCCCTCAGGCTTCTGCTGCGCTGGGCGCCGAGACTAGCGGCCAGCCTAGGGCGCTTTCATTTGCACTTGCGCCTCAGCGCAACTAGGATCCCATCTGAGAGCCACCCAGGGGCCCACCAGGGCCTCTGCTGCGGTTCTCTGGAACAGTTCTGCGCCTCTTCGCGCGCTGGTCCAAAGGCTCCAGGCGGCTGGCGGGGCCCTGTCTGGCAAGGAGAGTGCGCGGCCTTTTGTTCGTGGTCCCTTTGGTGCCCTCCTATGCAGCGATTGTGCGCGTCGGCATTGTCTTGGGGGGGCCCCTGGTCTGGGGGCCTCCCGCCCCGGGTCTTGGATGGGGCGCCTCTGCCCGGAGCCCCCGTGCAGTGCTGTGGACATGCTATTAGGCAATGGGTCCATTACCAGACCGCGGAGCATCTTCGGATTCCTGAGTTGTGCAAATGGGTCCTGGGGCGGGCCGCTGAAGTACCTCCTCGGCGCCGAGGGTGGGCTCTCCCGGCTGCAGCGTCGGCACTTTCGGGGCGCCCTGATTGATGCCCCATGGCCTCAAGCACGGCAATTTCAACAAGGTTGGGTTGCCTCCCCGCGTTGCCTTGCGTGCTCTGGGGCCTCTGGGACCCTCCTTCACAGGCGCGCTGAGTGCCCTGGCAAGACGCAATCGGAGAGGCGCTCCCTGATCCCATCAGACCGATGCTGCCCAGGGCCGCGTCGAACGATTTACGTCGCCTCCTGCTTGGGCGCGGTCTCCTGCCTCTGCCTGTTGTTCCTAGGTCTTTCGTGCAGCCGCCGACGAGCGAGGCAGTCATGCGGCGTGGTGACCCATGGGCTTTGACTGGCGATTTGTATCTCGACGGCTCTTGTTCGTTGGCCGCCCCGAGCGAGGAGTTGCGGCGCGGGCCGTAGTCGAATTTGCGGCGAACGGCGATCTTGTCGCGCGCTATATCACAGGGCTGCTCCCGTCGCCGCAACAGGACGTAGTCAGCGCCGAGCTGCGCGCGCTGCTTGCCGCCGTCCGCTCTGTTGCGCCGCCGACTGTCCTGCGCCCTGATTCGGGTTTTGCGCAAAAGGCATTGACGCGCGAGGCCCTGAAGGGACCGTTCATGCCTCAGCTGCTTGGGCCTGCCCGTGGAGACAAGCATGGCGCACTGTGGATGACTGGGGCCCTCCTCCTGAGGCCAAGAATGTAAAGGCTCGCGTATCGGAGGCCGCCGTGGAGGAGGGAAGGTACTGCGGTGGATGACAGATGGCAATGATGCCGCGGACAAATCTGCCACGTGTCGCGCGCGCGAGCTGAGACCCCTCAGCCACTTTTTGAAGCTGGTCAGCACGCACAAGAAGATGGTAGGATTGATTGGGCGGTGGATTGCCCGCGCAGGCGACTCGATTCCGAGTGCCGACGGCCTGCGCCGCCAGCATCATTGCCTGGCAGTCCCCTCTCTAATCCTTGTCAAGCCAGAGTCCCCCAGCCTTGAGCAGAGGATCCTCGAGCCCCATGCAAAACTGCGAGCCGAGGGTCTTGGGCGCCATCAGGTTGGGGTTCCTGTTGTTGATGGAGGCGCGTTTTTGTTGCTGCATTTGTTGCGCCGCGCTCACCACTTCCAGGTTCGCGTCGTTGGCAGCCGAATGCAAGCCCCTTCCCCTGTCGAAACATCGTCGCTCAATCCTCGATCATCTTCGGCAGGGTGGTTTCAAGCTAGACGGTGTCTGGCATCGTGTGTCAGGGCAGCGCCAGCTCTTTTGGAAGCCCCGCGCTGGCTTGCCCTCTCAACCTTGCTTGTCTGCGACGTTGGATGGCTGACCGTCGCAGCGCCAGTTTTGCTCGGGCGCGGTGTCCGAGATGTCGGAGCCAAAGTGCGCCCTTTGGCTCCGATGTGTCGACGGTGGACAGACGTTGTCCGCCGCCTAGGCTGTGCCCAGGGAAAGGAGGAGGAGGGAAAAGGAGGAAATGGAGGATGAGGAGGACGAGGAGGTGGAGGAGGAGGAGGAGGAGGAGGAGGAGGAAATGAGGAGGAGGAGAAGGAGGAGGAGGAGGAGGAGGGGGAGGAGGAGGAGGAGGAGGAGGAAAAGAGAGGAGGTGGGAGCAGGGAAGGAGCCTCCTGTCTCCTTTTCGGCCCTCCCGCAGGCGCCGGCGCCAGCCGACCCCCTTGGGACCGGCGCCCCTAGGGAGGCGCGGCCGCCGCCGCGGCCGCCGCCGTCTCGTGGTCCGCAGGGGTGCAGAGCCCCCACGACGATAAGCGGACTGCGTGGGGTGCAGCGGGGGGGGGAGGAGGAGGAGGGGGGAGGAGGAGGAGGAGGAGGAGGAGGAGGAGGAGGAGGAGGAGGAGGAGGAGGAGGAGGGAGGAGGAGGAGGAGGAGGAGGAGGAGGAGGAGGAGGAGGAGGAGGAGGAGGAGGAGGAGGAGACCTCCCCATCGTGTGCTCGGGCGCTGCGCCCTCGACGCCCAGGAGCCGCCCCCCTTCGCACGGGCACCTCCACGCAGTGCACACGGGGTCGAGCGATCATTCAGTGTCCCTGGCTGCGTGGCTGAAGTGGGCTTCCGCGGTGCGGAATGTTGCTGTTTTCGAGCTCTCACTTCTGAAGAATAATTATGGTTGATCGCCCCGCCGGTGCATACCGTTTTTTTCCATCAGAGTGCGCCCCTCGACGCTCGCACCTTTTTTTTCTTACCAAGGAAAGTCTTGAGGCTCAAACTGGGCCCCTAGCCCCGGGGTTACAACAACAACGGCTTCCGCCATAGACGTCCTTACAATTCTAGACGCTTCGCGTATCCCCACCAGCCCGTCCAGAAATGAGTCCCAGGGGAGTGGAGGTTATGAGGGAAGCGGGGGAGCATGCAGAAGAACAAAGGGCGGGGTGAGCCGCCATATACCCCAAGAGGGGGAGGATGTAGGAGGAGCCGTCGTCGTCGGAGTAGGAGGAGGAAGAGGAGGAGCAGGAGGAGGAGCAGGAGGAGGAGGAGGAGGAAGATAAGGAGGAGGAGATGGAGGACTGCGAGGACGAGGAGGACGAGAAGGAGGAAAAGGAAAAGGAGGAGGAGGAGGAGAAGGAGGAGGAGGGGGAGGGGGAGGGGGGAGGAGGAAGAAAAAGAGGAGGAGGAGGAGGACAATGGCGAGCTTGGGGGCCTCTTGGGCCGTCTTTGGGGCCTCTTGGCGGTCCGGGGGGCCTCTTGCGTATCTCGGGGGGCCTCTTGTGGCCTCTTGGGGGTCTCTTGGGGGCCTCTTGGAGGCCTCATGGGGGCCTTTTGGGGCCTCTTGGGGCTCTCTTGGGGCGCTCTTGGGGCGCTCTTGGGAGCCTTCGAGGCGCTCTTGGGGCCATCTTGGAGGAGATCTATCAAAGAAGGGGGGTTCCCCAATTAGCGCTGCCCCTCTAGAGTGCCTCGAGTCGCCTCTTGGGCGCCCCAAGAGGCCAAAATCCTTCCAAATCCTAGGTAAAGTCAATGTTTGTTGCTTTCTCGCCTTTTCGCTCTTGGAGCCGTCTTGGGTCATCTTGGACTCTCTTGGGGCCTCTTGGGGGTCTCTTGGCAACGTCTTGGAGGCTTCTTGGGGGCCTCTTGGGGTCTCTTGGGGCCCTCTTGAGGCGCTCTTGGGGCGCTCTTGGGAGCCTTCGGGGCGCTCTTTGGGCCATCTTGGAGGAGATCTATCAAAGAAGGGGGGGGTGCTTATTAGCCCCGCCCCTCCAGAGTGCCTCGAGTCGCCTCTTGGGCCCCCCCAAGATGCCAAAATCCTTCCAAAACCTAGGTAAAATCAATGTTTTGTGTTTTCTCGCCTGTTCGCTCTTGGAGCTGTCTTGGGCCATCTTGGACGCTCTGACACCTCGCGACCGGCCCCGTCCAGGTCAGTGGGGAGGGGTAAGGGGAGGGGTAAACCCCTCCCCGAAGGGGAAGAAGGGGGTTGGCAGAGGAAACTCCCTAGACCACCTACGCCCTAAAGGGCTGGTGGGATTTAGCCAGGACCGCCGCTCCATCGCGAGATTTCCTCGGGTTCTCGCCGAGGGGCCGCGCACATTGTTTTAAACGTACACGAGAGCTTCATGGTTGGAGGGCGGCTCCTGTTCAACATGTGGTTCTCGCCTTAGCGCCGTACGCAGTCGTCCTAAGAGTTTGCAAGTGTTTCAGGGATTATCATGGTTGGCGTCAGGGGCGCTTCCCTCGGTGAAAATGAGTCCGTGTATGAGCCTATAACATGGGAATTTGCAGGGAGGGTGTATTGCAATACCGTTAATGGGTTTTGGGTTTGCACTGGTCTCTTCTTCCTCCGTCTCCTCATCCTCCTCCGCCTCTCTCCTCCTCCTACCTCCTCCTCCCTTCTCAACCCCCTCCTTTTTCCCTATTCTCTCCTCCTCGTTCTCCTTGTCCTCTCTTCTTCTCCGCCTTCTCCTCTTCCTCCTCCTTGTCCACCTCCTCCTCCTCCTCCTCCTCCTCCTCCTCCTCCTCCTGACGCCCAAGACGCGGCTCAGGGGTTGCCGCGTTGTCTCCATCGACCTGGTGGCTCCCTCGCTTCTTCGGCTGACTCCGTCGGGCTGATTTCCCATTTTGCTCTGGGCGATGCGGGAAGTGAGGGTGGGGAGCTTTAGCTCTCGAATCAGAGCTTGGGAGATTGGCGATGATTTGCAGAAGGCGATCTGGGTGTTCAATGAGGACGCGGTGGTATCGAAGATGGACCCGACTAGCGTCAGCTTGAACGAGGAGTGGACGGTGGCAGCAACCGCTGCCGCTGCTCGAGGACATGCGGGAAACCCCCCGCTGCCCCCTCCCATCCATCCTCTCTCCTCCCCCCCTTCCCCTCGAGTACTCGATACACAATGCGTCATGCAAGCACCACGCACTGCAGAAAGAAAATTTGGCTGCCCCCGCGGCCCTCAGCCGATGCCCTCACGCAGGGAAACCGGCCGAGATCCCGATCCTGGCGCTGGTCCCCCTTGAATTTCTTGTTCTTGGAAGGAGCAATACGTATTAGAGCAGGGATTTCGAAGTTCCCGCCCCGCCCCTCCTCCTCCCCCTCCTCCTCATCCTACCTGGCGTCCTCCTGACACACTCGGGAGGTTCGGGATTCAGGAGGAGGAGGGGGGATGAGGAGGAGGAGGAGGAGGAGGAGGAGGAGGAGGAGGAGGACGACGACGATAGAGCCCGAGGAGGAGGAGGAGGAGGAGGAGGAGGATCGAGACAGACGCTACAACCCTAGGACTAAAGTCCACTCGATGGCAAAACAGCAGGATCGAGGCTCGTCGAAGAGGAGGATCGAGCATCGAGGATCGTGGCGCATCGACGATCGAGGCGGATCAGCGTCGATGTCCCCTCCCGGCCGGGGCGGCCTCTGCCCCGTCCACCCGCCTCGGCGGGCGGGCCGGCCGTCGGCACCGCCCACCCGCAGGCGGCGGTCGTTCTCTGCCGCTCCACGCACCAGGCGCGCGGCCGGCGGCGGCGGGGAGAGCTGTGTAATGGCTTGCTGGAACTGCGGAGTCTATTCCGAATTCATGGCCAGAGGTTTTCAGAAAGCGTGCCTCAAAGAGCCCAAATCTAATAACAAGATAACGGCTATACGCTGTTTCAGGTCGTGCAGACATCCCAAGGATGGCATGCATGGCCCCATCGTCTTTGCTGCTCCCATTCCTCTTGACATGATGATTCGAGAGACGCAACGTTCGTTGGGAATTTCAAGGAGCAGTAGCAGCAGCGGCAGCTAGCCGCCCAGACAAGAACCCATTCAGTCAGATGCGCTGGTCCTCCTCCATCTCCTCCCCCTCCGCCTCCTCCACCTCCTCCTCCTCCCCCTCCTCCTCCCCCTCGGGTCGCCTACGGCCCCGGGAGAAACCATGAAGGTTACTGCAAACGGAGGTCCGTCAGATCGCCCTTGCAAAATCCTGCAGAGCCAGGGTTGCACTGACCCGGGCTTGGGTGCAGGATCCTGCAGGATACTGCAGGATCTTGCAGGATCCTGCAAAAACCTTGCGGACCCGGGTCTGGATTGACCCGGGTCAGTAGATCCCTGGCCACGCGCAGAAGGGGGGGGGCGGCGGAGTCGTCGTCGGCGTCGTCGGCGTCATCGGCGTCGTCGTCGTCGGCGTTGGCGTCGTCGGCGGCGTCGTTGTCGTCGTTGGCGGCGTCGTCGTCGGCATTGGCGTCATCGGCGTCGTGGGTAGGGGGAGGGGGGATGGCTTCTTAGAAGCACCCCTGCTTCTTAGAAGGCGCGGGCCTTATCTGCAGATGCAGGGCTGGCGCCTTCGAAGGAGCAGGCTCCTTCCAGGCAGCCTTCCTCCCTCCCCCCCCTCTGTGCTCTCCAAGGGGGCCCGGCCGCACAGGGTCGTCATGGGGGAAGTGGGTCTTGAGGCAAACGTGTCCTGAGGTTTTTGTTGGGGTTTCTCGGGCTCTCAAAGCCCTCCATGAGCCCAGGGGCGGTCAGACAACGACTCAGGAGGAAAAACTTGTCCTCGGGGAAGGAAGGCCCCAGGGTCCAGGACCCGTTTCCCTCATGACTCTTTTTCCTCATGCTAACCCGGGGCCGCGCCCCAGGACGAGGAGGGCGATCCTCCTCCTTTTCCTCCCCAGACTGTCCTCGAGGGGTACAATTCAGCACCAGGACCTCGACATCTAAGATCCAGTCGAGGTTTTAGGCAGTCCAGATGGGTCTATAGGTATTGTTGGCGATGTTATAGCACTCTGGGCGGTCAGGGTTCTCGTTCTTTCCTCCTCCTCCTCCTCCGATCTCCCTCCTCTCGATCCTCCTTATTCTTCTTCTCCTTCTCCTCCTCCTCCTCCTCCTCTTCCTCCGGCTCGAGCGTCCTTCTCCTCCACCAGCTCCTCGTCCTCCAGCTCGGACCTCCTCTTCCTCCAGCTCGATTATCCTCCTCGATTTGTCTCTTTGATTATGTTTGATACTTCTCCGCCTCCTCCTCCTCCTCCTACTCCTACTCCTCCTCCTACTCTCCCTGCCCCCCCCACCCCCGACCTCCCAAATGGAGTCGGAGCACATGAGGTTGGAGGTTATCGGCACATCGCCGATGCATCGCTGATGTTTCGGCGAAGCGTCGGCGACTCCAGTGCGATCATCCGACACCATCTAACATCCCAAGCGTCGGCGACACCTTCCTCGGTTTTGCCCCCTCTGTAGCTCTCAGCGGGGAACGCCCCGTCTCTTCTTGCTGCCCCTCCTCCTGCTCCTCAGCTTG